AGAGAAACCTTATGCATGCAGTGACTGTGGGAAAGCCTTTACCCAGAAGTCAGCACTCACAGTGCATCACAGAATTCACACGGGAGAAAAGTCATACGTGTGCATGCAGTGTGGCCTGGCCTTCATCCGGAGGACACACCTGATGGCACATAAAATAATTCATACAGGTGAAAAACCTTATAAGTGTGCTTACTGTGGGAAATTCTTTACTTCCAAGTCACAGCTTCATGTGCATAAGCGAATCCATACAGGAGAAAAGCCGTATGTGTGCAGTAAGTGTGGGAAGGCCTTCACAAACAGATCAAATCTCGTGACACATCAGAAGACTCATACAGGAGAGAAATCCTATGTATGTCCTAAGTGTGGGAAGGCCTTCACCCAGAGGTCAGATTTGATAACTCATCACAGAATCCACACTGGAGAGAAGCCTTATGAATGTGTTACCTGTGGAAAAGCCTTCACCCAGAAATCACACCTTAACATTCACCAGAAAATTCATACTGGAGAGAGACAGTATGAATGCCATGAGTGTGGGAAAGCTTTCAACCAGAAGTCAATCCTCATTGTGCATCAGAAGATTCACACGGGAGAGAAGCCCTACGTGTGCACCGAGTGTGGAAGGGCCTTCATTCGCAAGTCCAACTTTGTCACTCATCAGAGAATCCATACTGGAGAGAAACCTTATGAGTGTAGTGATTGTGGGAAATCCTTCACGTCCAAGTCTCAGCTCCTGGTACATCAGCCAATTCACACAGGAGAGAAACCCTATGTGTGTGCCGAGTGTGGGAAGGCCTTTAGTGGAAGGTCAAATCTCAGTAAACATCAGAAAACTCACACTGGAGAAAAGCCTTATTTCTGTTCTGAATGTGGGAAGACCTTCAGACAAAAATCAGAGTTGATTACACATCATAGAATTCATACTGGAGAGAAACCTTATGAGTGCACTGATTGTGCAAAATCTTTCACTAAGAAATCACAGCTCCAAGTACATCAGCGAATACACACTGGAGAGAAACCTTATGTGTGTGCTGAGTGTGGGAAAGCATTTACTGACAGATCCAATTTGAATAAACACCAGACAACACACACTGGTGACAAACCTTACAAGTGTGAAGTGTGTGGAAAAGGCTTTGTTCAGAAATCAGTGCTCAGTGTGCATCAGAGTATTCATATTTGAGACAAAGTGGGAAAAATGTTAATGAGGACGTGTGTATAATGTGAATCTAGTCATCAGACCACTGTATGTTATTAAGTAGACACATCTATATCAGTGTCACACTGAAGAGGAGGGCGACTGGGAAGATGCAGAGATGGAACTCCTAGCCCACTGCCGCCAGGCTCACTAAACCTTGGGACTTTCATACTGAGTAGGAGCTGAATCAGTTTGATGCCTTAATGAGAAATGCTATCTAAAATGTGATGGAAAATTGCTTCTCAGCCTTTTGGCTAAGATCAAATGAAGTATCTTCTTATCAGTTCAAAATATAATGCAATGCTATTAGAAGAATTTTTAGGGAAGATTACGTTAAATTGTTTAATCCTGTTTTCTGTGGAATAGGGATAGTGCCAATGAAGTAGTTAAAAAAATAATAACTCATATATATATTATGGTAAATTCAAAGTTCTGCGAGTTGATTCAAAACACATTGTTTTACAGTTGTCACTGTTTTTCATTGTTAACAGATTTGTACATATTCAGTCTATAATTGAATAATTCTTTTTAGGAAATACGTGTCTTTTTTTTTTTTTAAGGAAAACCTGTTTATATAGATGTGGAGCTGAGAATGTGTTAAACTTAAAATTTCCTTTATTACTCCCTGGGAGTATCTTTGAGTCTCATAAGAACTAATATTAAAACAGACTCAAACATACTGTGATTATCTGCGCGAGGTCCATTTTCATGCCAAACATTCTACAGGACCGGTTTTGCCAAGTGCCTGAAGCACATGAGTTTAGTGTCTGTGAGTGTCTTTGCATCCGTAATGCCCGCAGGAAGAGCACAGGTCATAATTCTACCTGTGTGCTTTCTACCTCGTGTCTAATGATAAACCCTCGGAATACTTTGCTACCTGACCCTAACAGGCTGCTTCAAAATTATAGCTGTTCTGCCTTCCTCTTCTATAATGTTCCATACCTGTAAGCATAAGGATAATGTGTACATTTGTTTGTGTATTCTAACAGTAGATCATTTTCATAGTATTCTTTACCACTTTGAGCCTGGGTACCTGCATGTGGGTGGGCATGGGACTCTCAGGGAACTGTCCCCTGTGAGCTTGTGGATGGGAATGTTGATGTGCTTATTCCTGGGCTGCTGCATTCTCACATGGGTTGAGGCATCAGAGCTGAGCCTCATGGCCTGGGTATATGCCTGTGTGTGTGTAAGGGGGAGAGAATGGAGCTTGTTCTGTGTTTCTGTTTTGCATAATTAACCAAGGGTAGTTTCTTGCAGTTCCTGTATGAGTTTCTTAGGGCTGGTGACCTTATATCCTATGGTATAGCTCACTGAAAGAACAGAGTACCCATGTCCTGTCCCAACATTAACTGCATAAACCTCCTAGGAACTCTGTTTAGACTGACAAAAAAAAGGGATGCAGATTCAAGAAGGTCCTGGTGATTCCATGGGCATCCCATAGAAAGAGAACAACAAACCTGGCCTTAGCTCCATGATCAAAGAGGAGAGGGACTTGGGGACAGGATGGTGTGTTCAGATGGTGGCCCCTTATGGCCAGTTCAGCAATTTCTCATTAGCTTTAGCAGATGACCTGGCAGCTGGGAGTTTGGTCCAGCCTAGATAGAAATTGCTTTTTTCCTCGGTCACTCTTAAGAACAAGACACATTTATCATTGGCTCCTAGACAAATGCTTGGGGAATCCTGCCTGAGAGAATTTTGTTTCCCATGCATATTTTTTAAAGATTTATTTTGTTTTCTTTTTATAAATTTTATTTTTTATAATGATTACATGGTGGATCAGGGTGGGAAGGATTGAGGTTTAGGGAAAATTGGGTGAACTCATTGCTTCCAAATTTGCTATTTCTTCTTGTTTCTGGGGAAAAGGGAGAGAAAAGAGGGGAAATTACAACTTTCTACCTGAACCCTATCAGATCCCCCATTTCTGGGACTCACAAACCCGGCCCCCACTGGGCCCAGGCTGGCATGGCTCACCTAACCTCAGTGTCCGCAATCTTTTTTTTTTTTAAAAGGATTTATTTTTATTATTTTTTTATTGGAAAGGCGGATGTACAGAGAGGAAGATCTTCCGTCCGATGATTCACTCCCCAAGTGAGCGCAACGGCCAATGCTATGCCAATCCGAAGCCAGGAGCCTCTTCCGGGTCTCCCACGCGGGTGCAGGGTCCCAAAGCTTTGGGCCATCCTTGAATGCTTTCCCCGGGCCACAGTCAGGGAGCTGGAAGGGAAGCGGGGCTGCCGGGATAGAACCGGTGCCCATTTGGGATCTCGGGCGTGCAAAGCGAGGACATTAACCACTTGCGCCACCACGCCAGGCCCAGTGTCCGCAATCTTATTGCGCAGCCTGGCCTGGTCCAGTCTGCCCCTGTTGCAGCTCCTTCTGGTGGGAGCTGCAGCCTATCCCAGCCCAATCTAATTGCTGTCCCAGTTCTAATGTGAACTGTCTGGTGTTTAATGATGTGGTGTCCTGGGTGTCACCACAGGACCAGGAGCTTGATGAGTGGAGATAGTGTAGTGGCTGCCCAAGGTGTGGGGCCAGGCTGCGTTGAGAGGCCTCTCTTGCCTTCTGCACAACACTGTAAATAAAAGCTTGGCCTCTGTCATAGCTCCTTAGTGATCTCTGGTGCAGTTTCTGCTTTCTTGAACCTACTTGGGATCCTCAGGTCTTGGGGGTCCCTCTTGTGGAGACCGGGGGACTCAAGGTGTGACATCCACACCAAGTAGAACTTTGGGCCATAGGATGCAAAGGTGAGATGAACCAGTGCACACTTTATTGAATTTTTCTGGGGCAACTTATACCAGTTTTTTGCAGGGCAAGCAGGTAGATAAAAGTTACTAGTTAACTAAACAATAGCATACAAGCTGCTCCAATGACAGATCATAAGCGCTCAAGGGAATAATCACCAGGTCTCAGGCAACAGGATAAGTAAACATGAGTTACCGGTAAACAAACAGGTCTAACTAGGGAAAGAATCTAACAGAGCTTTCTCTGTGTTGAGATACATTCAGGCTATAATTGCTAAAGAAAGAAATGATAGTGAAGACGCCTCCCACCTTCCCAGGCACGCTGTGCAGACACGGTGGTCCACAGTCTCAGCGGGAAGTTTGTTTCCTGCATAATTCTCAGGTTGCTGAGAGTGTCTGAAACTCGGTGTCCTCGGGTATTTGGTGGTCTGGGTCAGGGAGTGGATCTCCACAATTAATAAACCTCAACACTTAGGACCCCTGGAAGCACCCTCTGGCATGACAGTCTTGAAATTGACTGATGCTGGATTTTCTTTTTTTTTTTTTTAAGTAAGATTTGTTTATTTTTATTGGAAAGTTGGATTCAGAGAGGAGAAGAGACAGAGAGGAAGATCTTCTGTCCACTGATTCACTTCCCAAGTCGCCACAGTGACCAGAGCTGAACCCATCTGGAGCCAGGAGCTTTTCCAGGTCTCCCACATGGGTGCAGGGTCCCAAGGCTTTGGGCCGTCCTTGACTGCTTTCCCAGGCCACAAGCAGAGAGCTGGATGGGAAGCAGGGCAGCTGGAAAATGAACATGCCCACATGGGATCCCAGTGGACGCAAGGCAAGGACTTCAGCCACTAGGCTACTGCACTGGGCCTGGAATTATTTTTGTTAAAGATTTATTTATATGAAGGAGTTAATAGAGGAGAAAAAGGTCTTCCATCTGCTGGCTTACTTGGGCTTGGTCATGCTCAAGCCGGGAGCCAGAAGCTTCTCCAGTCTCCCACTTGGGCGGCAGGGTCCTGGGCCATCCTTCACTACTTTTCCCATGGTATTAGCATGGAGCTGGATTGGAAGTGGAACAGCTGGGATTTGGATGGGCACCCATATAGGATGCCAGTGTGACAGGTGGTGGCTTTACTCACTCTCCCATAGTGTTCACCCTCATATTCTAGACCTTAATTGCTTTTTTGCCACCTCACCTCCTGGAATCTCAGTGTAGGTGGGATCCTTGTGAACACTAATGTGTATACACTTTAATAGCACTCCTGTCAACACTGCCCTGAATGTGCCTGTACTAACCAGGGGATTAGGTCCTGGCCTGGTGCCTGCTGGCCCTGAGTCTGAGGGTCACTGAGTTCACAGTTGCCGGATGCAGTGGTCTCCAGGTTGTACACTGGCCACATCCTGGTCTTACCTGGCTTCATCTCGGTGATCCTCAGATTGCATGACCTGGGGACCACTGTGTCCTAATGTGGAGCGTATGTGTGTGTCCTCACCTGGGACGGTGATAGTCTTCTGAGAGCACAGGAGGTTACTGGAGGTGGGGAGGCAGCAGCATTGGTGGAGTCCGGCCGACTGTGATCTTAGAGTCAGAATTACTTTATGAAAAGGCTTGTGACCTTCTCTGAAGAGTGAGCCCTTGTCATTGGCAGCAGGGGAATCCCTCCACCATGTGCTTGGACTCAGCCTTGTTCTAGGGGCTCAGGCTGGCACTGTGCCCCAAGCATGAGTGGCTTGGGTGAGGGTGAGTGAGCCCAGTGCCTAGTCTGCCTCACTCCTGGGCATGCTGTGCCAGGGTGTGGAATGTTCATAAAGTCTGGGGTCTCTGTGTATCTGCTGGGGGTTATGAGTTGGGCCTGAGGCCCAGGGTCAAGTTGCTGAAAGAACACAGCACCAGCATCCCAACTCCAACCACACAACCTTGTCGAGATTGCATTTAGACCTACAGAGGATGAACATACAGATCAAAGAAGGTGCTCGGCATACTATTTCCATCCCCTCTGTCAAGGTAACCATAACAGCATGAGCAAGAGGAGATGAGGGAGAAGATGGACCCTCAGGTCACCCTGCTAGGCTGGGCGGCTTCTTACTACCAGTACCAGCATTTCCTGACTGCTCCATCATTCTTCCATTTGAAATTAGATTGTTTTTTCTCAGTGGAACTAGTAACTCTTGAACAAGATGGCTTTCTCAAATGCTCAAGAACCCAACGGCTTGGTAGTTCCAGTCCCTGTGTCTTCTTCATACATCTTGATGGCTGTGCAGGGGAGCCCTGGGGGTGCTGGATCTCCTTGTGTACGCTGTGGTCCCTGGCAGCTCTTGGTCTCAGTGCCCCATCACAGCGAGGCCCCTTAGGACTAGGTGCAGGATGGAGTGTTTTGGAGTATGTTGTAACCTTCATCTGGTCAGAAATGGTGTCTTTCATTTCCTACTTCCTGCTAGTCTGTGTGACTGCATCCCTGTGCTGAATGTCCTGGTTTCCAGTGTTTTCACTGCGAGGCTGGGTGAGTGGAAGTGGGGCGGTGGCCATGTCACATGAAGGTGCAGCTGTCCTTTCCCTGGCCTCCCTCCCAAGCAGAATCCTAATGACTTGGTGTGGCCCCCAGCACATGTCCAGGGGTGGCTCCAGGGTTGTGTTGGGCTTTCAGTGGGAAGGGTCATCCTCACTGGTCCTGGGAAGTCCCACTGAGTGTCACTGGATCCCACCCCTGCTCCGTTTGCTCACCCCAATTTAGTTCTGTATGTGGCCTGTCTGACAATGACAGTGCTTTATACTCTGATGGCACTGGCCTCAGCATTCTCCCAGAGCGCTTCACTGAGTGACTGGCTTCTGGAATTACACCCGGCGCCGGCTAGGCCCACGTCAAAGGAGGTCCCAGACCCACAGTGAGTGAATCTTCACTGTGTATTGGATCTGGAGGGTTGAGCAGGCCCATTCCCGCCTTAGACGATTTCACAGCAGCCATCATTGTACCCACTTGCACTTACCTCGTCTTGTCTGGATCAAAACCCGGAGTTGTACTGTGGCATCTCATCCCCCGAGGCGGAGCAACGCAGGTGCTTGGTGGATTGGGCCGTGAGGGATTGTCCAGGGCCAGCAGTTCCAATGAACTTTGAATGTGGCGGCCCTCACTCAGGTTAACAGCCCTGCATGCAAAGGAACTGGCCGGCCTGTAGCTGCGCATGCGTGCTCAAGCC